GTTCTGTTCCTCTGTCCAAGGCTAATGAAAAATAAACAAATCTACTCTGTTCTCTCATGATGGAAGTTTATCTTCAGTAAAGGGGGAAAAAAAACATTTTGTTCACTGACACTGTATCAAGAGGTAGACAGTGTAGTCCTTTAAACATGAGGCAACAGAAAATAATAAGTATGGCCTTTACAGGAACCAGAGCCTCTTCATGTGTTCTTACAACCTGTGCTATGTAGAAACTGCCATTGACCTGTTTTTTAGAAAGCGAGTGCTCAAAGGCCGTCATGCTTTTTGCTTTTGTCTGGTGAATTATTGACCCAAAAAAATAGTTTTGCGTGTGCATAATAAATATATAATACCGTAATATATATATACAGGGCTTGAAAAATTTGATAGTGTCTCACCAGTCAGTCAAAAATTTCACCAGTCAGCATGACCGGACTATAGCCTTGCAATTTATGTTAAAAAAGTTTGGGGACAGATAGAGCTTTCTTTTGGAGGTATATAATCACCACGGGGATATTTTTTTTTTACTATATAATTAAAAAAGTACCATAAATGTAAAAAATAACAAATCCCGCCCCCTCCCCCGTCCGTTCCGCCAGTCAGCGCTGGCAGATCGGAGCGGGTAATCCAGCCCCTCCCCCTGTGACGGCAGAGAGCGACAGGATCGAGAGGTGAGCGAACCTGGTACGTGTTCGCTCACCTCCCGATCTACTGAGCCGACCTGTGACAGTCTCATTGTCACAGGTCGGCTAGAACTATGAGGTGAGTGCAAATCACTCATCTCATAGTTCTCCTTTAACTGAACAGACTAAAGAAGATGATTGGTCACTATGGGCAATTGCACCAGATACTGACTGCTCAAGTTTTGATTAGTTCACCCCCAATATGGTAAAAGGTTGCCAATATACATTTAAAAAAATAAAAGGTCCCAAGAAGTGGCTACTTTGGCAAAAATATACACACTATTTTATAGAGTGCTATCCGTTTAAAATAAAGAAAAAAAATTAAATCAGTGTCGCTCCTTGAGCCATAAGGATTTAGATATACATATAAACAAAAAGTTCCAGTTCAAAGCAGGATTTCTTCCTTTTCATCTAAGCAGAACTTCATGTAAATCTATATCTTCAATCTGTATGTACATACATTTTCTTGTCCATAGGGGTAATTCACCAAGGGAGAAAATGCCCTTTAATACTCACCCGGTTGATCTTTAGAACAAACAATAGTAATTTCACATGTTTTCTATATCTGCCATGGAGCAATCGGCTTAATGAGAAATTCAACTGTATAGGCCTGGCATATATCTTCTGTATACAGAATCGGCTCCAATAATTTGATAATCTGCAAGAATCAAACACGTATGCAGTTCAATTGAAAGTTATAATTTTAGTGCACCACTAAGGAGGTAATGAGCAGATTGGCATAAAAAAATGCCATTAAATTCCACAAACTTTGCATGCAAGGTGCATGGCATTGAAAAAGGGTGATGTGCACTTAAACAGTTCTAAAATTCTTATGTTATTTTTAAAGAGGAACTTATCCTAAAATATGACAACAAAGACATCTTCAGTAAAGTTTAATAATGACAATCTACAGACAGATGGAGATACTTGCAGGCTTTTTATTGTTTTTTATATACCTTATTTTTCTTTTCCTCCCCATTCTTCCCAGTGACCATTTTCATTAATTCATCCCACTGAGATCCCATGAGATATTGCAGTTTACAGATTAGATTTCAAAGGAAGGCATTGGTGATGTAGCCTTCCCAGGATGCATCTGTGAGGCCAGGGCTACATCACTTGTCTCCCTCAACCAGGAACCTGAAAAAGAGTAATTGTAAGAAAAAGCAGGAATGTTTTTTTTAACAAATGTAAGATGGTTTCTTTAAGGTTCACACATACATATTTCAATATATCTGGTTTTATGGTTTTAACAGTTTCAAATCCACATGCAGAGCTGCATGCTGATGGGATTTGTAGTGAAAAATAAGATAGCAGCATACACTGAGTGGCCAGATTATTATGACCACCCCATCAGTACTTCGTTTTATGCTGACAGTGACTTTTGTTTCATTTATTTTCTTAAATAGAGCATACTCCACCAAAATGCAACTCCATGGCCATCTTCTGTGTGCAGCCTGCCTTGTGTTGAACAAAAACTGTTCACAATTTTCTTTGTCCCATCTTTTGTCAGTTGCCTACAGCTGCATTATTGGGAAGTATATTCTATTGCAAAGTGCTGAGTAAGAGGAGGTAGCAGGGGTAGGCAACCCTGGCAGTCCAGATTCAAAGTTCCAGGAGGCATTGCAAGACTGACAGCCACAGACATGACCTTTGTAGTTTCAGCACAGCTGGAGTGCCAAGATTGCCTATCCCTGGGTTAGTGAATCCTTTAAGCTCTATTTAAACATCTGTGCATTATATTAAGGCAGCCCATCCACTCTGAATGCCCCTGAACTGTTTTTGGGCAGTGCAGCACATTACAATGCATAGTGCATTCACTTCTGTTTTTTGTAGTGCATTTAAGGGCTGATGTGTTTCTTTGCACATATGTCATTTAAAATGAATGGCAAGGCACACTTTGCTCCAGCACTGGGCAGGCCTGGCAGCAAGAAAATTGATTAGTTTTCATCTCCGGCCTGTGCAATTAAGGGATGAGAAGAAAAGGTGTAAATTATTTGTATTTTGTTTTTCTTTAAGAATGTACTCATGAAATGCTGAAACTCTGGCTAAACAACTCTCGAAGAGGCGAGATGTGCAAGTTAGCTCTATCGAGAGAAGAGTTTTATGCTGACAGTGACTTAAGATAGCAGCATACTGTATACGTTTGTAATATATTTAATGAAATAAAGTAGTGGTCCAAGGAAAAAGTTCAGCAATGTAAGCGTGGCATATATTTATTCCATTATAGCTCACAAGATTCTCAAATGTACATGTGTCATTCAGTTGAAGTGTGTGTATGTAGGTTGACCTCACTGCTGAGGAGGACATGGGTGAATGAGCATAAAGATTGTGCCACACTATTCAATCAGCATTATAAGTTCCATGGCATTGTTGGTAGTAATCAAATGCTAATGCCCTCTGTGGTAACATACACTTCAACTCCACACAAAAAAAGCCAGAGCTTAAGAATGTAATATAAATCCGGTCTCAAGGTGCTTGTCTGATATGAAGCATTGCTGGTGGAGACAGCAGCATATAGATCTGGGCTGTGTTTTGTAAGATTGATACCTGTGTCTTGATGTGCTAATACAAAACTGCTCACATTCTCTATAATGAGTTTGTCCGTGGCAGGCAGCACAAACATTTAGATAACTACAACATGGTGCAAGGTGTAGCCCATTAAGTTGGTATGTATTTTATATCCGTTGTTCTCAACTAGTGGGTTGCCTCATGCCTTCTACTGCGCTAGGTGAGAGGCTTCTCGGCCTCCCCCGAGCGCAGGACTGTCAGTTCTTGCTCGAAGCAGCCATTCAAAATATGCTGCCCGGTACCGAGTATCAGCTTGAGGTGGGGTGGGCTGAGGGTATGGCCACGAGGGAGCTCCATCCATACGTGTATTGCTTACAGCGAAATAGTGTGCCCTGTAGAGGTGCCTGGACCGGAGTAACGCCATATTCTGGCTCTACAGGATGCGCATGGGAGCTGTACAAGCAAAGCACATATGGATGGAGCGGTGTCGCAGCCCACACCGGACCCTAGGCCGACGAGCCACTCCAGTTCTTGTAATGTAGGGAGACTGGGTGGATCTTAAAAAGAAAACTCAGCATGCATATAAAGCAATGCATTGAAAACGAAAACAAAATTGTGTGTTCTAAAAAAATTAATCTTTTTGCAGGTGAAACAGTTCACTTGTATTTTGCTGTTGTCTTAAGCTCTGCTTTTACTTTTATTTAGCAGTGCTGAATAGGTTACATGCAACCAAATTCATAGGGCTGGTGCAGACTGGGGGGGACCCGGGACGTGCAGTTGCCGTCCGGCCCCGTTTATTTTATTGGGGTTACATCCATGCGACAATCGCTGAAAAAGCTACATGTACCTTTTTTTTTTTTTAGGCTTTTTTTTGTGACACGCTGGTTTTTTCAACCGCGATCGTGCGCAATTGCACAGGTGGAATCGCAGCGGGAAACAACACAATCTGCCTGGGGAGACTGGGGTGCCATTAGAAAATAATGGAACCATCAGCGTTGCTGTGCGACTCCGTGACCGCGCGCCCATCCACTTGGTTTTGTGCACGATAGCCGCGCGGTCACAGATCGCCCAGGTGTTGACCTGGCCATTAAAATGTTAAGCGTTCCCCCTTTTAAGATGCCCCCCCTCCTTTTCAAATGTTTACATAATATCTTAGGCATTATACAACCAAGATGACCTTTGGTTGTATAACCTGAAATATCTGAAATGCTTGGTATATTCATGTGATATAAAACGGGCAGGGTTAGGAATGCACCACATTTTCTAGCTCACAAGAACAAGACTACAGTCATAACTATGCATCAGCAGTAACCAGATAGTGTGAATTATTGATGTGCATATATAAAAATGATGGTCTAGAAATTGTCCAGATATAGCAGCTTTTTTTTTTTACTGATATCTTGCTGCTTCCACTGCTGACATGGGAATAATTGGTACTACAGAGACGCAGCAAACACACAGCCCACTGTCCTACTGCTGTATATTGGACAAACCTAATGTGCCAATTGATTATTTTCGCTTACATGGCCAGAAAGTGGAACAGCATTTATAACAACTCAGCTGTACCTCCACGTGGAAGAGCTTGGTTATTGTATCATCATACCGTTTTTGAGCTCTTCTATTTTAAGGTTGTTTGTCTGTTTCATACCTTCTTATACTTTTATGGGCATGCAGGTTTTTATTTTTTTATGTATAAACTTTCTTCACTTTTATATTTTGGTTACATGTAACAGATATACTGATCAACAGTTGTATTAAGAAAAAAAAGTAATGTAAATTTCCATTCTAAGCACTGAATTTATTTATTTTTAGGTTGCAGGGGAACTGCCAAAGATACGTGAGTAAACTCTGTATAGTTGGGAACATTTTCCTACATAATCTCAGATATATCAGATGTCTGTACCTATACAATGTTTGAAGTGTAACTCTGGTTTTCTTGAAAACTAAAATAATGTAAATAGATGCCTACTTGTCATAGTATATGTTGCTACATTTTGCTCCAATCTGCAGCGGTCAGTGATTTTTTTTTTTAGCACTGCCAAAGTAATCCTTATCTCTGTTCCTGGCTTCATTTCATAAAGCCCAATTATACCTTCAGCTTTTATACCTTTAGTCAAAGTCAAATGCTTTTAGAACCACCAAGTAGGTACAACTTTGGGGAACAAACAATTGCAGTCCATTGTTGGTACACAGAGGAACCCCACTGAAATATGGGCAACTTTATTGTTCATGGTAATCCCCCAGCTATAGTTGTGGTTTGGGCTTGACTGTTTTTGGGCCACATAACCTGGCATGCTTGGAAAAAATAAGTAGTTGTTAACCTCCGCTTCCCTCTAATTCCTATGCCTAACCCTTAACCTTAGTTCTAGCCTTAAACTTCAAACTCCCCACTAAATTTAACCCATAAACCTAATTTCTGACCTGGACCTAGCCCTTAAACTCTAATTCGCTCCTAAACTAGCTCCTTAACCTTAATCTAAACTGAACTCTTAGACCCTTGTCACACTAGTGATTTTGATGTTGGCATGAAATTGCCAGTGACGGGATGGTTCGTCTACTCTTCCCCTGTGGTTTCCCTCTCTTGCTGGGTAACCCAGCAGCATGTTATTCCATTGCCACTCCCCACTTCTCACTCGCTGCTGCATTTCCACGACTGAGAGGTGACCCACTCCCATTAGGTAAAGTGGAAGCGACACCTTGGAAATTCTGCCCCTGGCAAGAGTCTCTCGGTCTATTGACATAGGTCAGTGGCAAGGTTTTCCTGTTTGTTGGTCCGGTTCCTGCAGACCTTGAGAAGTTCCATTTTTTTCAGCTGAATTTTCTTTAAAATACGTTTTGAAAACTCAGACTTTTTTTGTAATGGTGGCAGCAGGCACATATACTTGGGAACTTCAGGTCAGAGATGTCCCTAGAATAATATAGAGCTGTTGGGGGGTGTCATTTGACTCAAATAATATATTTCAGTTTTTATTAGATGCAATATATTAATCATTCAAATAAGAATTGTTTAAATGGCATCTACTTAAGACTTTTTATAACACTTGTTAAAGATAATTACACAACATATAATTTCCTCATTGGACTAGTTTATAGTGTACAAAGGGCAACTTTGAATTTTATAGTTTGTAGCTGCATCAGTAAAACAAGCAAGAATGTGAGTTATTCTGATCCTAGGTAACAGAACAGCAGTTTTTTATGTTGATTTTTAAATTTTCTTATGAAATATAATTATCGGTATGGTCTTGGTCATATACATTCAATGGCCGCTGTCTTAGGGACATGTACAGGGTAAGACCTCTTCCACTGGCAATATTCCTCGGATTTTGGGCCATATTGACTCAATAGCATGTAACGGTTTCTGCAAGTTTTTCAGCCATGCCTGCTGTGAAAATCTGTTCAACCTCATCTTTTTTTTTTTTGGTAGAAAGATCTTAAAAACTATGTCGGAGCAGAATTTTAGATTAATCAGGCTAGGCAATAGTTTTCTACACTTCAGTCATCCAGTCTGAGTTATTCCTTGCCCTATGTGACCTCGTTTCCAGTTCCTACATGTACTAGTGGCACCCAGTATGGCCTTCTGCAGCAGTGCAGCAATCCAAACACATGATACACTTACACACTCTTATCAGTTGTTCCTGGTTAGATACCTACTAGCACGTAGTCCATAAAAGTTGTCCAGACATTGGGAGATTGCAGTCATGTGGGAAAAAAAGTACAGTAAGTAAATACAACCTCTGATGAGCAACAGCACATAAAATATTATTATTTATTTTAGAAACATAAAGCCAAAATGGATAGGTTATGTGTAACAAAAACAAAGAAACCCCGGAAGTACACCCTTACTGCTTCCATAGGAATTGAGAGGCTAGGTAGCAGCCAGGTGCTGCTAATCAAATGCCCTTGATTGACTGATCATCAGCCAGTGTGACCACCTCTATTAAAGCAGACATTTTAGCAGTTTGCTGGTCTGGAATATTCAGATATGTGTTAACATAATTCCAAGAAGGAAAGACATCAGCAATGATCTTAGAGAAGCAATTGTTGCTGCCCATCAATCTGGAAAGGGTTATAAGGCCCTTCCCAAGCAATTTCATTCTATCATTGTACAGTGAGGAAGATTATTGACAAGTGGAAAACATTCAAGACAGTTGCCAGTAGGGTGCCGATACTGGGCGTTTTCACGAGTACTCATGAAAATGCCTGATACTTAAAACCGATACCAGCACTTTAGATTTTTTAATGGATTCGGCTGTCCTAACGTCCTGCATTTGCTGGGGACCTCGCAGCGGCTATTTACAGTGTAGGTCCGGCTGCACAACTCCTCTTTCCTGCCACCCACACCACAATGGGGAGATCCGGCACAGCCCTGGTGAACAACAGACTGTAGCTTCATATTATTCTGCATTGCTGCATAATGTATCGCTGGGATTTGAAGTCCTGTATACAGCGATGCAGAATATTACCACCAGCAATACTTTATAGCTGGTGGTATTACTCTGCATTGCTGTATAAAGTATTGCTGGCATTTGTAGTCCCTCTACAGCCTGGAGTCATTGGCAGAACTTGCAGTGTTGTAGCGGTTGTAACTGTGCTTGGGACCTGGTAATCCACAACTGTCCTAAAATCATTAGTGTGTATTGTTTAAGAAACTGTCACATGACACACACAAAAAAAAGGTATTGGTAATTTTGTATCGATTAGTACCTGAGGAAAAGTATCAGTACTCAGTCTTGAAAAAATGGTATTGGTGCATCCCTAGTTGCCAGTCTTCCCAAGAGTGGACATCCCAGCAAATTCACCCCAAGGTCAGACCATGCAATGTTCAGAGAAATTGCAGAAAAACCCCAGAGAGTTACATCTCTGACTCTACAGGCCTCAGTTAGCATGTTAAATGTTAAAGTCCATGACCGTACAATTAGAAAGACTGAACAACTGTGCTTTGGAAGGGAGCCAGAACATGGCACCACGGCTTAGGTTTGCAAAGTTGCATCTGAACAAACCACAAGACTTCATGAACAATGTCCTCTGGATAGACAAGACCAAAGTGGAGATGTTTGACCATAATGCACATCACCACATTTGGGGAAAACCAAAAACCGCATATCGGCACAAACACCTCATACCAACTCTCAAGCACAGCTAAAACTTGGATGAAATTGGGTCATGCAACAGGACAATGATCCCCAGCACACCAATTCTTTTCCAGCCATTCTGTTGTAGATTTCATGAGGGGTTGCAATGGCCCAGTCAAAGTCTAGACCTCAACCTGAATGAAATGCTGCAGTGGGACTTTGAGAGCTGTGCATAAACAAATGCCCGCAAACCTCAATGAACTGAAGCAACGTTGTAAAGAAGAGTGGGCCTAAATTCCTCTATAACAATGTGAGAGACTGATAAAGTTGTAAAGCAAACAATTCAAGTTATTGCTGCTAAAGGTGGTTCTACAAGTTATTGAACCACTTAGTTTTTCCACACATGTCTTCTCCAATTTGGCTTTATTTGTAAAATAATTACACCGTGTAATGTCATGTGGTGTTGCAGATGATAAGGTCCAGATGATATGTCCTGATACATACAACCATAGAATTCAGAGAGGATGTACTTTCTTTTTCACACAACTGTACATGGCATATATAATCCAACCTGACTGTAAAAGCTTGTGAGTGGGTAAAGCCATTGATGTGAGTAATGCCTATTCAGGTGATCTATCTATGAGTAATTTGTGTCTGCAATGGATTTAGTCATAATCTAATGTATATCTTCCACTATGGCAGACGTTCACCAGAAATTACAGTGCATGACAAACATTATAAAGGCAAATGCTAATTAAGTATTAAAGACAGTTTAAACAATCAAAACATTATTGGGATGTGTGTGGTTTCTTTGTAGAGAGATTAATCTAACTCAAAGCTCTAATATGTGTGTTTTACAGGTCAGATGATACTTCTTCTCAAGATGACAAACACAGGTAACGAGGGCTGATATATTATGCAGATATCTTAATTAGCGAGTCCACCGAAAATGTTAGTTCTTTCTGGTTCATTGTGGGGCACAGGAATTCAGATACAATCGGGTCACAATGTCATCTATATCCTCTGAGGCATTCGATGCCTGCTATCTGGAATCAACTAATGCCTTGTAGATACTGACCATAGAGGCTCTAAACGTGCTCAATCATTATCCCCTGCAGAGTCTCTGACCTTCCTGAAGCCATAGATCAGGCCAGGTCAATGTGAGCCTCTCTGACGCAGAGTCAGAGACCGATCCCTCTGTGGATCCACCATTGACTCGCCTAACCAGACATCTGTGAATGAGGTAGAGGGCATGCTTACCTTTTAAGTATTCTACTGACAGACCATTGGACTCCCTTATTAAATCCCAGTTTATTCAGTTAAGTGTTTGGAATAGATGTGTGGAGCCTTATGCTTCATCTGTGATGGCTTAATACAAGCATCAATATCCTGCATGTGTCTTCTGTCCATTCAGCAGCACAGTGCTCTCTGGTTTAAATTCTGATGGCTCATCAAAAAGCATCTGATTAACATGGCCTTTTGAGAAAGAGTCCCAAGGATTTTACCAAAGGCCAGAGTATACGCCTCAGTGTAGGATGTCTAGGGAGAGATTGACTGAACCCCATTCTTTTCCATCTACTTTTGCAGTAGATGCCCCCAGGCTCTGAGCCTGACTCTGACAGCTCAAATGGCTTTTAATTAGAGACCTGCTAAGCCCTCTGACAACCCATTGATATCCTTGTTCTAGAAAAGAAATTGGCTCTGGGGGGACTTTTCCTCAGATAATCCACAGCCTTTTTTTGAAAGGTCCTTTCCATTATTTTACTACTTCTCTGTACTCTCTCTGGTAGTGGCTCAACTATGAAGTTCAAAGCCCAAATCTGAACCAAAGAGGGCCTCTGGGCTGTAGGCAGTCCCTGGTACCTTTTTTGGGCCTGTTAACTGTTGTTGCCGCAATGCCAACCCCTCAGTTGAACTGCTTTTGGATGTCCCTCAATGGACAAGAGAGAAACATAAAATATTTGTGCTTGTTGTATAATCCTTTTCTTGGACTCCATTGAGGGAAATACAGATACAGTCGAGTTATACTGACGCCTACAGGAGGATTGGACACTGGCAAACATAAAAATTGAAAGCCAGCCCCCATAGAACCCCTCTTCTCCCCAGCATACGTCTTTGTGGTAAAGCAGTACCAAGAGCATTAAACAGAAACATAGAAAGGTCTTCAATGGACTCTAAGAAAAAGATTTAATGGCAAGTTAAGAACCCTTTTATTTCTATGATAAGAAGCCAGGTATTAACTTGCTAAACTAACCTTCTCCTATTTTTTTCTGAAAACTATGGTGGCAAGATGTCCCTACCCTAGCTTCTGGCTATTTCATTTGAGTGTTTCAAATGAAACGGTTTCTTTCAAACAGTTTATTTTGCATTGTCCATATATTACCACTGGAAAAGAATAGGCCCCTACTCGTCATGGGCGGCACGTCATGATCCGCCTCTTGGCTTCCTGATTGGTCTGGAAGCCGGGCTGCCTAGCAACAAGTGTAGCCGACTTCAAGAAGTCAGCCTCCGGAAGTGAAGCTGGTGTTCTTTTGAACACCGGCTTCCTAGGCAATCAGGAAGCCGAGCGGCGGGTCATGATGCGCCGCTGACTTTCTGATAATCGGGACACACTGAACTGGTATCGGTAAGTACCGTCAAAAAAAATCGGTACTTGATACCGAAAAAAACGTTATCGGTGCATCCCTGATAAAAATTATGCTCTGGGTACAGCAGTAATATGTGTCAATTTGCATATATGCTAAAATCCTCTGAGTTTCCAGCACCTTGGTGGATTTTAGGATACTCATACATTGTATTTATGTTCATGACTGAAGCTCTGTGCACAGTTAAGGCTTGTAAAATCTATTTGTTTTTTCTGTTTTTCTTTGGAGGAATTATGGAGGGGTGTATGTAGGTCTACCAGCAGATACATCAATGTGTAGCAGTTCAAAAGAAGCACAAGGTATCTTCTAATTATTATTCTGCGTATTTTCTATATTCCTGTCACTTTTTGTTTGTCATTTTATAGATTTATATTTACAGAGTACACATTCGTTAAGCCAGTCTAAAAGGAATCTGTCATTAAAGTGTATGTACACCCTAACAACGAGCTTCTCTTATTGGCTCCCTTTTGGTCTGTGAACATACCATTTGAAAGCATTTTTATTTTATCCATTCAATGGAAAAAAATGCCCGTTGATATTGCCAGAAATCTTGTAAGCTGATCACTTTCTGTGACGTAATGTTATATACCGGTCTCTGCCCATCTTTGTTATTTAACAGAGGGTCTGGGAGAGTTTCTGCTAGTCCTGTCTTTTTCTGTTGTCCTGATGCAGTATGGTGAGTGTTGTTATATTAGGACACAGAGTATTGTTACTGGCAGAATCTCGGGTTTAAAAATAAATTAAAGCCTGAAAAAAACTAATGCAGCAACCTCATGCAAGGACTGGCAAGCTGATGTATATTACAATTTTGTTATTGGCTTTAGATATGCTCTAAGCGGAGACTAATTCCATGGCAACTATCCTTGCAAGCGAGGTGACTGCCTGGGAAATAGGAAAGCCGCTTCTAAGATAGAAAATGGTGGCTTACAGCACATTTAAAGTATAAAAAGTCATAACCTTTTGTGTCAAATGGGGAAATGTTGAAAGTCATCAGATTTTTTTTTTTTATTGCTGACTTTTTGTCTCTGCCGGTTTGTCCAGCTAACTATTTTAGGTAGGACAAACGTATGGGAAAGCCAAAATGTTATGGTTATCACCAGGGCAGGTGAGAGGACATTTTCCAAAAGGGACAGCTGTCTAAGGCCTGTCAGTTTTTCAGCCAGACCCGATTGGATGCTCTATGCAAATCTATGGGTCGCCATGTGTAATCGTCTGTTTACACCCGGTTAGCTCTGGCTAGGTCCGGAAAAACAAACAGATCAGAGATCCGTTACCCCAGACCGGGGGTAATCTGATGTAAGCAGACACATATCTGTTTTACATCCGATGCCCCATAGATGCACATGGGGTTCCGGCAGCTTCAGTTTTTTCCTAGATCGTAAGAGGGAGGGAGAAAAACTGGACGGACATGGATGTTACAGTGGTTACATCCGATCCGTACTGTTGTGATCAGGAAAGATCTGTTGACTGATCCTCTACTGACATGCTCATGTGAAAGTGGCCTTAAGGTCCCCAAACACCTTACGATAATCGTATGATAATCGCGGGAGGTCCCACGATCGTACGATTACCGTAAGGTGTGTGGAAGCCGTGCGACCTCTACTACTGTAAGGTCGCACGACTTTAAACGTACGAACATGTTTCAAAACCCGCCGAGCATCGTACGATGTTCGGCGGGTGTGTAGCATGTTCGTGAGATAAAAGCCAGACGGGCCGGTGTGCGCGAACGCACACTGCCCGTTCGGCATTGCGGTCATCGGAAGCCCGCCCCTCAGGGGGTGTGGCTTGCGATCATCGCAAGTACGATCTGCCTATGCAAGATAGGCAGATCGTAAGTTTTTTTTTTTAAGTACCTTACAACCATCGCAAGACAAAAGTCTTGCGATGGTTGTAAGGTGTGTGCCCAGCCTTAGAGAGGATTTTATTATCCCTTCCCTTTTGTGGCTGCAGGACAAAAAGTCAAGGCATACATTTCCCCAATGGGACAAAGACCGCTAAAAAGAAAAACCCAATGTGTTTTTAACCATTTCATACTCAATTCAACAGAAAACAAAGTTTGCCTTTCGATACATACGTTAATGACAGATGACTGTTGGTTTATGAAAATAACAGCTGTTGTCCTGTTTCCAATGCTCTAAGCACTGTGCACTTTGTGTACTAGGAAGGTAATGGCTGCAGCATTAGACTTGTACCAGGTTCAAGACAGGCAACCTATAAAGAGCTCACCTGATGTAGTATGAGATGTATGCATGTTGCTAAAAAGTTCACCAGTGCCTCTTGAAGATTTTTTTTTGCCTTTGTTCATTTTGGAACTAGAGGTTATGGGCCCCACTCACACCCAGGCGTTTTGTAGCTTAACTGCGTAACCGCTACAACGCTCATCAAGAGAATGCATGGTATTGCAATGCCCTGTGTTTGTGTGGTACCATCACAAAAAATGTTGCATGCTTCCTCCTTAGTTTCTTTGCCAATGCCCATTCACACGTGTTGATGTAAAAATGCTTTTTTTTTTCTTCTTACAGCATGAACTATAGTTTTTCCTCCAAATTAAGATTCTGCTAACGCATTAAAAATAAATAGACTTCTTTAAAGCATTGCATGGCTTGAAAGGGACCTTGGGCTAGATTAGGACTTATTTTTGTATTACATTTTTCTGTGCTTAGCACTTGCTGTTTCCTTCCACCAAATAGAGATTTGTTTGCACAAGTCTAAGCCACATCCTAATTCCATGCACAGAAAGCATTCATAAGGTAGAATTGCATTCCTTAATGACGTTTTGGTTTTTATTTTAATACTTTGTATTATAAAGAAAAGAATGGATGTGAACCTGCCATACTCTATGGCTGAATATAATTCTGTCTTGTTTGAGCACTGTCTGTTTTTAAATATCTAATGAGGCTCTTTGAACAATTGCAGCCCCCAGCCAAACCTATGCACAGAACACACAGCCTGGCTCTCCTCTACCAGAGAACATCTGCTAGCACAGCGGAGCTTTCAAAACTTTCTAACGTTCGCTTTTACGGGTAAATGCGAGTCCATCGCCTGGATATACTGTTTGCAGAGGACATTAGATGGTTGACATCTCAAAGCTGCTACCCCTGTGCTTTACTTGAATCTACAAGAAGCCTGTGTTGTTCAATGCCGCTCTGTCACAAGGAGTGGGTAAAGGTAGTAATAGGAGTAGTTAATAGTAAGTGTGATAAATGCTTTCCTCCTTTAGAGTGGGGCCATGAAAGTAGTAGAAACTGCTGATGCATTATGAAATATTCAGGGACTGAGCAGGCTCTTCCTTCCAGGGAAACGTGTGGGCAGTTTGGAAGATGCAGTGATGAGCAGAACTGTGATATATGACTACACCTTTCAGGATGATATGGCTTTTCTGTTGTAATAATAAACTGCAGGTCATTTTTGCTGACTTGGAAAGAAGGGCCTTAATGGGGCATCAACTACAATGGGTTTATTTATACAATTTACTACAAGTTGCTTAAAGGCTTGCTTAGTGACACGGAAACAATTGGCCCAGCACACAAGTAAGCGCACACTGTTTTTCTGTGAAATCTGTTTTTAGAGTTTTATATTATATACCTAATAGACATATTTTTTTTTTTACATTTGCAAAGGTTAATAAAATGTATTTACTCCTGTAATGTGTATTGTTTCTGTTGTGCTAATATACATGATGTGTATAATTAAATGGAACAGATTAATTACTCCAAGATAAGTCCACCCAAGACTAATATCAGCAGGTTGAAATGTACACCAGCTTCCTGTATAGCTCAACCTATTCCAACAGCACAATCTCATCATTCATTAGCTGCAGCCCATGTAAAGTCAAGCAACAAAGGCTCACTACTCTTGCTGCTGCTGTAAATGTGAGGGTTGCATTCATCTTGTGATCTTTCTCTCCTCGTTTCAGCCAGTTAGTAAGTGGTTCTGACCCTGGTCAACGGGGGTCTCTCTCTCTCAACACTGCCCATAAAATGAATTCTACTGGATACCTTTCAATCTCCAGCCAAAAGACATGAAACGGGGCTGGCTGGTTAGTGCCACAAAAAGTAACATTTGTACTGATTTTAAGTTGATAGAGAGAGATATATATATATATATATATATATCTATCTTTTTTTTTCTCTTAAGATGCCATCACCCAGGACCCTAATGCAGCAGCACAAAAAAATGAAACCAGGCTGGGTGGTTTAGTGCCACGTTTGTGCCGTTTAAAAATCTCCATTCTATCTCCTTTTTTTGTTTTTACGTTCGTAACCGTTTATTAAAAGTGATCCAGCCCCCCCCTACAACAGCAAAAAGACATGAAACCCAACTGGTTGTCAAGTTTGTGCTGTAAAAATTAACATGTGTGCTGCTTTTAATTTTTAAGATACCAATCAAAGGTGACCTTTTTGTTTATTAAGATAACACTAGTCTCTAAGAAAAAAAAAAAGCCTTGGAAATAAAAGTAGCTAAATTTTACCAGAATTGGGTCACCAATTAAGGCCTTGTTCACACCAAGCGTGTTCCCGAAGCAGAGCAGTTGCAGACCGGATCAAAACTGTGTCCAATGGTATTTTGGGCTCTAGTTCACACTGCAGCGTTCTGTTCCAGAGCATGTAAAAAAAAAAAAAAAAAACTGCAGCAAGCCCTATTTTACCTGCTCTGGAATGTATGCGAACGCACTGGAAGCCCATTTTAAACGTAAAACCTTTTTTTTTTTTTTTACCAAAAACGTCCTGGAGCGCATCAAAAACGTGGCACAACCCGCTGCACTGCGTGTGCAGAAACTCATGCAGATCTGGTCTGCAGTTGGTGTGAACAAGCCCTACGTCCTGAGTATTAATTGGCTCGATGCCAAGATACAGCTTCAGGTCAAAATTAGGAGGGGGATGTGCGATTTATGCCCCATAACTTTTCTGCAATGTTTGGATATTCCACAGTCCACTTCTTTCTTGTGATGGCTTTTGCAATTGGAGGAACCATACAAAAATAGCAGTGGCTAATATGATTGGTGGGTTCCCTCCACACCATTGGGACTGCAAAAGGCATGGACTTTTTCCTTCTTTTGTCAATGATGCAGATAAGTTGCACATGTAATGCAACAATGAGGGGCCCAACTCTTGTGCGAATCCCCTATTTTGCATCCAAAAAATATAGGTGGTATGCCTTTTTTTTGTTACCACTGCCATCATAGTGCACTTTTGAGATGCAAATGTAACCTCGCCACAAATGTAGCAGAAGTTATCTGCATTGTTTACAGTTTCAAGGCATCTTTGCTTCTGAGGGAAAATATCAGGCAACTGTTCCTTGGAAATGTTAGACAATGACACTTCACAAGCCACCAGATGCAACTGTATGATGTGTAGATCTGACCAAGACAAATGTACCTTGTGATAAAATAATAAATTAGGTAATCTTTAGTTTTAAAGGGACTATAAATGTATACACTTCCATGTGGTTCCATTTTCATAGTTCTACCGTACTTTGTCAAAGTTATGAGGTATCATGATCATCAGACACCTCCCTCCCTTGTAGGCAAATATACCCGCCTGTGTATAAATCTTTGTGAAATATCTTAAACTTTGGCCAACCAGCACCTTTTATCACCTACCTGTTTTCTAATTCATCTAATCAAAATATGTAAAAATTTTGATTGATCATTTGCCAAAATTTGGAAACCAGTGTAATTGCCGTTCTCTTAAAAAAAAAAAAAGCACAAATATGAAACTGGGTTGGCTGGTTAGTGCCATAAAAGAAATGTATGTCTTTTGGCAGTTTTAGGGGGCTGGGTGACAGTTAAATCGCCATTCTATGTCCTTTCGTTGAGTTATTAAGTAGCACTAACCATCCAGCCTGGTTTCATGGTTTTGTTTTTTGCTGCTGTAAGGGGGCTGGGTGATGTCACCATCTTAAAAAAAAAATTCTATCATAATAAAAGCAGCACAAATAAAAACTCGTGTGTTGCTTTGGTGCTGATTGTCACTGAGCTCACATTTAGTAGTTGGGGCAAGGCCCCTGGTAGTGGCAGTGGGAGAGTCTGCTGGGATATTTCTGCTGCAGTGGAAGAGAGCAATTTAAGAAGCCATTGTGGGATTTAGTTTACCATCCATGTCTGGAATAGTACATACAACATGTGAGGATGTCGCACAGGCAAGAAGTGCTCACAGCCCCAAGACCAATGATCAGGCAAGTAGCTTCTGAATGCTCGCCTCTAGAACAAAACAAGCAGTTCACTCTTGCAGTGTGGGGGGTAGCCCCAAGTGCATGGGTACGTTTAAAAAAAAAAAAAAAAAAAAAACTGGAGTTCCTCTTTAAACTGATATCAAGAGTAGCTTTTGTTGCATCACAACACAAAATCAAGTAGTGTGTGGGATGTTCTCTGGGTGGAATTGTAATACATGGGTCCTGGTGTTTCATGTGAAGCGATTTGTTTTTTAATGAAAAGTCCAGTCTAAAACATGATTTACTGATGGATTAAATTAATCAGTGCTCACAGCACTAAGCTATTTCCCAAAAACCAACTAAAATGATTTTTTTTTTAAACTGTAAATGATTAACACTTTCAAAAATGCTTGGAAGACTAGGGCTGTTGTGGTCTCCAAGCACCAGAGATTGGGAATAGTGACATTAGGTCCACCAAGCCCTTTAGACCCAAGTAACCACAGGTTCTTTTAGTCTGTTAGCGGACTGTGTATGCTAGGACCCTCCTAAATCCTGCTGTATGCAGAGGCCCTAGTGAATTGGATTTTTCTTCTAACCCCCTTTTAAAAAGGCAAACTACAGTGTTCTGAAGCATTTCATTGCAAAATCCCAGCCAACTGGCCAGATAATATCTCAGCACTTATTACATTGTTGTCCAATAGACCTGAATATAAATTGACTAACTGAATATTCAGCAGGGCTCCAAGGTGTATAAAAAAAAAAAAAAAGGTACATTTCCATCCGTGGAGGTGTTACATCTACAGTAGGATTTTTGCATAGGCTTGCTCATAGTATATCATTTGACATGCAGGCGCCATAAATTTCTATACAAAGTTCCCAGCGATCCATTTTCCAGAAAACACCACTGGAAGCGAGGCAGCTGTGCCTAGTAAATGGTCTGTATCATGTAGCCTATTTGGCTAATGGGTTTTTGTTGCCAAGATTTTGAGTGAGCTACACAGATACATTTCAGTTGATATTAGCATTTCTCAAATAGGTGCAAAAAACCCCCCACAGCTGGGTTAAAAACAAATAAATGGTTGGGTTATTAGCTAACCACTGATGATGCACAGAGGCAACATGCACACTAGCTGACTGTTTCAAAGAACGTCTCTTGTGCATTGTATAAAGAACTTTGTTCCCACATTACTTTTTCCTGCGTTTAGTTGTTGCTGGACGTAGGCGTGTAAAACGGAGCTTCATGGACCTGGAATGCAGAAAACCCTAGTGTGGGTAAACACGTCTAGACTATATGAACCTAGAGGCTGTAGGGTGTGTTTTCAGTCATAGAAAAACACTACATAAACGAATGCCAAATGTCCCTGGACTCATGCAGTGTGCACAAGGCCTAAGATCCCCAATGAAGGCCCTTGCCCCTTTTACAACTATGGTATGATCTGTTAAAGTGGCAAACCGATAAATGCCTGGTTTAATATATTCATGTTATATGTTTTATTCCCTACCAAAAAAGTTGTAATTTGGGCTAGCCTTTTGAAGCATAAGCTCTACCAATCCCAAAAAAAAATTATCCATAAAGATGGTACTCTTAATTGACTGGCAGAGTACCAAGTGACTGGCAAAAAGCTACGGTACAGATATTCGAAAAAGGGTCAAGATGCCAACCTGGGAACTACAGACCAGTCAGTCTAACATCAATAGTATGCAAACTGTTAGAGGGAATGATGGACTACTTAGTAGAGTTTGTTCATGAAAATGGTATAATAAATGCTAATCAGCATGGATTTAGGAAGGACCGTTCCTGCCAGACCAACTTACTAACATTCCACGAAGAGGAGAGTAGAGATCTGGATGGAGGGAAGCCAGTGGATGTGGATTTTTCGAAAGCATTTGACACAGTACCACATAAACGCTTAGTACACAAGCTGAGGTCTATGGGCATAGAGGAAATGGTGTGTATATGGATAG